CCTGCTGCTGTTCTAGGAGAGGGGCAATGTCTGTCCCAAAGGAAGGTGCAGGGGAGAAGGGGGTTCTGTGACAGACAGGCTGCAGCTTGGTCCAGCCTGGCTGTGTCCAGACCAGGGCACCATCTGCTTGCTCCTGCAGGCTGCCGGGCTCAGTCGCTGGACCTTGTGTTCATGTTGGATGCATCAGCCTCAGTGGGACCCGAGAACTTCGCTCACCTGCAGAGCTTCATAAGAAGCTGTGCCCTCCGCTTCGATGTGAACCCTGACGTGACGCAGGTCGGCCTGGTGGTGTACGGTAGCCAGGTGCAGACAGCCTTTGGGCTGGACACCCACCTCACCCGGGCTGCGGTGCTGCGTGCCATGAGCCAGGCCCCCTACCTGGGTGGGATGGGCTCCGCGGGCACGGCCTTGCTGCACATCTACGACAAGGTGATGACCATCCAAAAGGGTGCCAGGCCTGGCGTCCCCAAGGCTGTGGTGGTGCTCACGGGTGGGAAGGGGGCAGAGGATGCAGCTGTCCCCGCCCAGAAGCTGAGAAACAATGGCATCTCCGTCTTGGTCGTGGGTGTGGGGCCTGTCCTGAGGGAGCCACTGCGGAGGCTTGCAGGTCCCCGGGACTCCCTGATCCATGTAGCAGCGTACACCAACCTGCAGTACCACCAAGACACGCTCATCGAGTGGATATGTGGAGGTGAGTGAGAGCGTCCACACTTTTCAGGGCCACCTCCAAGAGGGGCCTAAGCCCGTCACCTACATAACTACAAGGATAGCTGCTCCCCCTTCCTTTCTTCTTCTTTTTCTTTTCTTCTTCTTCTTCTTCTTCTTCTTCTTCTTCTTCTTCTTCTTCTTCTTCTTCTTCTTCTTTTTAACAGAGATTTTTGCTATAGGGCATGTGTGCTTGCCAAAGAGAAAGACAGAAAGCAAGAAATCACCCCCCTTCCAGGGGAGATGGCTATGCTGCAATCCCTTCTCCATTCCCCTCTTGGGATCTTGGGTACACACTCACATGCACCCGACATGAGTTTTAAGTCCACGGCTCAATCCAAGGCTCAAACCACAGTTGACTACATGGAAGCCCAGTGATGTAACCATTATGCCATCTGCTGATCTCCTCCCCACCCTACCTCCCGCTTTTTACATGTCAGATTTCATGCTAAATCCTGTGCTTACGAGAACTCCTACAGTAGGCACAACTATCCCCACTTGACAAGGTGTAGAGAATGTATCCCAGATCTGTCTTTCTGAACTCGACAATGTGTGCATTCCGTTCAAACTGAAGGCTCCTTTAGAAGACCCACAGACCCCAGGAATCCAAGGATCCCACATTGACACTGACCTAGATCGTGAGTGGCAGAGCTAGGGACAAACTGGGCCAGGCCAGCCTGACACTAAGACTTCCTTTCACCAGTGACTTCCTTTCCACCATTTAAAAGGTGCGTGGTGGTAAGAACAGCAAACACCACCATGTGCACGGCAGAACTCCCCGGGTGCAGGTGGGGAAGCTAGTGGCAGTCAGGGCTACTTCACCTAGCCAAGTTGGCTGGAAGACCCCCCACGTGTTCACCTGTGGCTTCAGAGCCAAGGGGGGACACTGAGAGATATAAGACAGTAGCGACTTTGCATCTGTTCCAGGTTTACTAAGAGTAAGGGTCTTCAGGGACCAGCAGTTAGCATAATGGCTATGTCACTGGACTCCCATGTAGTCGACCATGGTTCAAGTCCTGGACCCAGTAGCTTAAACTCATGCTGGGTGCATGTGCATGTGTGCCCAAGATCCCAAGAGGAGAATGGAGGAGAAGGGATTGTGGCATGGCCATTCCCCCTGGGGGGGGATTTCTTGCTTTCTATCTCTCTGTCTCTCTCTTTCTGGTAAGCGCACGCACCCTATAGAAAAAACCTCTCTAAGGAAAAAAAAAAGAATAAGGGTCTTCGAGAGTGGGCTAAGTCGGCCTTGGTGGGCATGTTCTCTATCATAGAAGCCAAACGGCCCGTCAACCTCTGCAAACCCAGCCCATGCATGAACGAGGGCACCTGTGTCCTGCGGAATGGGAGCTACCGCTGCGAGTGCCAGGACAGCTGGGAGGGCCCCCACTGCGAGAACCGTGAGTGGGGCTGGGGGTGGTATTCTGAGCCCTACCGAGTCCCGTGAACTCAGCTGAAGGTGGGTTTGGGGCATTCATTCAGTAGAGGGAACCATTCCATCATTTATTCTTTCACCCATGAAACATTTAGTGAGCACCTGGTACATCCCAGGTATGTCCCAGCTGTGGAGAAAATAGCAATAAAACAATAAAACCTCTGCCCTCGTGGGGCTTCCATGCTAGTGGGGAGACAGGAAACAAGTACAATGTGTAGTACATTAGATGTGTATCAGCTCGAGAAAATCATGGCCGCTAGGAGGGAGGCCTCTGTGGCCCAGAGTCACGGGGCCAGTGGGGAAGATGGCGGATGTAAGCGTAGAGGCAGGTGGGTGAGTAGTTGCAGTGGTGGGAACTGGTTTGAGTTCCTTTTTGTGTTTCTATTTACTCAATGAAATGAAGTGGGCAAAATGACCATCAGCTGAGAGTGAGGACGGGGAGGGGAGGGGAGGAGGTGCTGGGCCTTTGAGATGGGAGAGAGGTAGTCACTTGTAAGCTGGGGAACAGGCGAGGGGCATGACGAACAATTGTTGGGCAGCCTCGTGAGCCCACTTGCGGCTTCTGACTTTAAAGTTAGGACAGCCGGAAGTCAGACACCAATTCTAGATGGAGCCTTGGGTTTTCAGCCTCCAGCCAAGGTCGGCTTCCCAAGGTCAGGCAGTGGACACAAGCATTCAGATGGGACCTGCAATCTGGCTCCTTCTGCTTGGGGCAAGCTGGGTTGTGCAGCCCAGGAAGGGCCCACGGGAACGGCTGACTGGTTGCGAAGAGGACTTAGATGCTCAAGTCCTCAGAGTTTATTTCCTTCCCTAGGTGTCCTGAGAGGAGATGCCCCCAAGGCACATGGCTCCCACCACAGGCCTGCAGGAGGACAGCAGCCATACTCCTCCCAGCTGCCACAGAGAGGGCCTGGGCACTAGGAAGGTGCTGCCATTGGCAGAGCGTCTGTGTCCTGGGGGGTCCTCTGAGTGCCTGCTGAGAGCCAGTGGTAGCAGCTGATGTCACCCTTAAATGACGATGTCGAACACTCTTGATGTGTGAGTGAACATTTACTTTCTGTACCTTGTTGTGCCTTGTTGGGGCTATGTCTGTCACCTGTCACCTGTCCTTCGAAGATAAACAAGGGACCCTCGAGACTCTAGAGAAACCTGGCCTGTTTGAGGTTCACTTTGCCTACAGAAAAGACAGACTGTTGTTGAGACAGGCCCAACAGGAGGCATCTACTAGAGCGTCATGTGAACCACTGAAGTGAAGGCATTTCAAGATGGAAAAAGTGTGGACAATTTCGCTTCCCCAAAGGTGACCTGAATACATTTGCTTTTAGCTCAAAAGGGGCTTCAGGAGACCAGCCTAGGAAAATGGTGTGCTAAGTAAAGAACTCCCAAAAAAAGGGGGGACCAGCAGTTGGCGTAATGGCTATGTTGCTGGACTCCCACGTAGTTGACCACGGTTCAAGTCCCAGACCTGGCTTAAACTCACGCCAGGTGCGTGTGCGTGCGTGCCCAAGATCCCGAGAGGAGAATGGAAGAGAAGGGATTGCAGCATGGTCATCCCCCCTGGAGGGTGATTTCTTGCTTTCTGTCTCTGTCTCTCTTTCTGGTGAGCGTACACGCCCTATAGCAAAAGCCTCTCTCTCTCAAAAAAAAAAAAAAAAAGGGGGGGGTTTTCGTAGAATTTTCAAAAAAAAAAAAAAAAGGGGGGGGTTTCAGTAGCATTTTGTGACTTCTGGTGGTTGGATTTGTGTGTGGGAGAGACTTGGAAAAGCCCCGGACTGCAGTTTGACCAGTTATTTACTATGGGGGAGGGGCTGGACGTGCAAATGGCCCAGGTCTGGAGGGGTCATATGAAATTGGTCTGGATGCTGGGCAACATCTCCTCAGAGGGTCTTTTAAGACAATCTACTTAAAAGGAGTTTATGATGGGGTGCCTGTTGCATACTTTCCTTACTCTCTTTTTAGTGTGGTAAAGAGAAGTCTTGAGCTTGACAAACAGGATAAAGAGATGAATGGAGGTTTTTGCTTTGTAAGCATCAGTTGTATACAGCCTAGGTTTTTGTTTTGTATTGCTTTACTTTTTACATCTTTTTAAAGAGATTTTTGGTATAGGGCACGTGCGCTCGCCAGAGAGAGACAAAGAGACAGAAAGTGAGACATCATCCCCTAGGGGGCTGGCCACACCTCAATCCCTTTTCCTCCATTCTCCTCTTAGCATTTTGGGCATGCATACACATATGTCTGGTGTGAGTTTCAAGGCTCTGGATCCAGGACTTGAACCATGGTCGGCATTGTGGGAGTCCAGCGATGTAACCATTATGCCATCTGCTGGTCCCTTTACATCTGTTTTTTTTAAAGGGCTATTTCAAGAAATGTTGCTTACTTATTTAACAGGAATGTTTGTACCTACATGGCAAAAAGATTTATTTGCAATACTTTCTGGTAAATGAGGTCCCTATTCCTACAATATTTAAGAATCAGTTCTTCCCCTTGGTCCTGTTATTTCATTTGGTTTTTCAGTAGAAACCTCTATAGTGCTCTAACATAAATCCAGAGACTTTATCACAGTTTTTCTTTTGTGTATGTGTGTGGGTTCACTATAGGGTCCATGCACTCACCAGAGACAGATGGAACGAGATGGGGAAAGTGAGAAATCACCCCCAAGGGGAGATGGCCATGCTGCAATCCCTTCATCCTCCATTCTCCTCTTGGCAGGAGAGGACACATATGCACCTGACATGATTTAAAAAAAAAAAAAAAAGGGGGGGGTTTCAGTAGCATTTTGTGACTTCTGGTGGTTGGATTTGTGTGTGGGAGAGACTTGGAAAAGCCCCGGACTGCAGTTTGACCAGTTATTTACTATGGGGGAGGGGCTGGACGTGCAAATGGCCCAGGTCTGGAGGGGTCATATGAAATTGGTCTGGATGCTGGGCAACATCTCCTCAGAGGGTCTTTTAAGACAATCTACTTAAAAGGAGTTTATGATGGGGTGCCTGTTGCATACTTTCCTTACTCTCTTTTTAGTGTGGTAAAGAGAAGTCTTGAGCTTGACAAACAGGATAAAGAGATGAATGGAGGTTTTTGCTTTGTAAGCATCAGTTGTATACAGCCTAGGTTTTTGTTTTGTATTGCTTTACTTTTTACATCTTTTTAAAGAGATTTTTGGTATAGGGCACGTGCGCTCGCCAGAGAGAGACAAAGAGACAGAAAGTGAGACATCATCCCCTAGGGGGCTGGCCACACCTCAATCCCTTTTCCTCCATTCTCCTCTTAGCATTTTGGGCATGCATACACATATGTCTGGTGTGAGTTTCAAGGCTCTGGATCCAGGACTTGAACCATGGTCGGCATTGTGGGAGTCCAGCGATGTAACCATTATGCCATCTGCTGGTCCCTTTACATCTGTTTTTTTTAAAGGGCTATTTCAAGAAATGTTGCTTACTTATTTAACAGGAATGTTTGTACCTACATGGCAAAAAGATTTATTTGCAATACTTTCTGGTAAATGAGGTCCCTATTCCTACAATATTTAAGAATCAGTTCTTCCCCTTGGTCCTGTTATTTCATTTGGTTTTTCAGTAGAAACCTCTATAGTGCTCTAACATAAATCCAGAGACTTTATCACAGTTTTTCTTTTGTGTATGTGTGTGGGTTCACTATAGGGTCCATGCACTCACCAGAGACAGATGGAACGAGATGGGGAAAGTGAGAAATCACCCCCAAGGGGAGATGGCCATGCTGCAATCCCTTCATCCTCCATTCTCCTCTTGGCAGGAGAGGACACATATGCACCTGACATGATTTTTAAGCCCCTGGGTTTGGGACTTGAACCACGCAGTCATCCATGTGGGCTCTAGCTGCCTAAACTTCCACACCATCTGCTGGCCCCTTAATATAAATATTTTAACATCATTTTTCTATACAAATATGCAAGGCTACTTTGACTTAAACACCGCTTAGCTTTAAGAACTTCCAGTTTTGGTGTTGGAAAGGTGCTTGAAACGGTATTGTGATGGTATTAGTGGACATTAAAAATTCAGTGTGGCCGCTGAGTCCTGACAGTCACGTCAAAAGGGTGTTTTCACTGATAAGTAATTTCCCATTATGCTGTCCTTTGTAAAAGGTGACATCAGGGTGGGATCAAGTGCCCTCCCAGTAGATGCTGATTAGTGATGTCACAGAAATGACATGAATTCATTAGCTTTATATCAATAGCTGCTCAGTCATTTTGTAATGTAGGCTCTTTGTCTTGTTCAGGGATATTTGGAGACTCCTTTTGAATTGGACTTAAATGACAAACTATGGACCCTGGGCTTACATATTAAGGCCTTAACTATTTTATTTTAGGAAGTGTGGCCCCAGCTCTTGAAACTTTTTTTCCTTTCAACATTTACTAGGGAAGGTGCCTCTGAGCCATTTAACCCTTTTCAGTGTCCCAGTAGTAGCAGAGAGAAGACCTAGCTCACTGTATACGTAGTTGAGCCTTTTTCTTTTATTTAAAATAAACAAGCTTGTAACTTTAGTTTTTAATTACACAAGTAACATGGACAGGAACTTCATTGTTTAAATGAATTCTCCTTGCAAAAAATAAAGCATTGCAGCTAGGTCATAAGTCTTTTATTTTCTCCAAATAATCCTGACTCGGGCTACCTTACTCAACCCTCTAAGTTCTAATAATTGAGTCTCTTTTCTTGAGCTATATCATATACAAATGACAGTTCTAGTTCTTTCTTTTGAAGTTGTACTCTGTCTTCTTTTTCTTGTCATTTTGCATTGCCCAGGGCCTCTAGAATAATGTTGTGTAAAGCAGTGGTAACACTATGCATCCAAATTCCATAGGTGGAGCTTGACTAAAGGGACTTTTTCACTTTTAAAGTTTTCTGTGGGTTACTTTATCAAGTTAAGAATGCTTATTTCTGTTCCTAGATGACTCAGAAGGTTTATTGTGAATGTCGAGATTTATGTTTTGCATTTCCTGCTTCCTTCAAAATGATGTTATTTTTTCACATTTAATAAGTTAATGTGATCAAGTATCCACTTGTGTATTTTCAATGATTGAACCACTTTTGATTCCTTGGGTAAACTCTATTTGGTTGTGATTCGTCAATCTTTAAAACTGCTGAATTTCATTTGTCTATATTTTATTTAAGATTTTTGGTTTTGGTCTTATGTCCAAAAGTGAGGTTTTTCTTTTGCAAATGTGTTGAATTTTTGGTATTTGAGCTGTGCTGAGTTATGATAGAAAATAGATATTTCTCAAACTTCCATATGGCTATATTTAGTGTTTTCTTATCATTTAAAAACATTATGCAGTATCTGTTCTTAAGCTCTCTTTTCAGTTCTGCTATTTCATGTTACCTTAGGTTGTCCTTTTGTTTTATTCATCTTTTCGATGAGTCTGATTTGGGCTTTGTCACTTTTAAAAAATATACACATTTATGTTGCGAATTTCCTTAATTACTACTTAGGCAACCTTCCAAGAATATTTCCTTTCCCACGAATTATTTAGGAACATATTTAACTTCTAGGAGTACCAATTTTCAACCACCTACATATGATTTGTTTCTGCAGATAGTTCCTGTATAGTTGGTACATTGTTTATTATACTATTAAAATTCTGTTTTAGCCTATGGTACTTAATTTAAGGAGGTTTAAACAGTCTCCTGTCAGGATCCCACATGGTGGTTCTGTGAGTTTTTACTGCACATATTTTGAAGTTCAGTATGTAAAAAAAAACAAGGCATTTCTCCCTTGAGGTAAAAGTTCACCCAACCCCTTCCCAAGTCATTCCATAAATACAAGGAAAACCCAAAATTACAATGAACATTTTATTAAAAAAAAAAAATCTAACTCACTACTTGGTAAAAGTTCACCAAGTGTTTATGACAATGGAGATAAATGCCCTGGGATTAGAAAGACAATAAGAATAAAAAGATCTTTAGATCTCAGGAACCAGTGTTCAAAAACTGGTTCAGAACCCCCAGAAATGAGACAGAGATGATAGATGAAATGTTTCAACCGTGTTAAAAACAATGCCATCGGCGGCACAGACAGGGCAGCACAGAGAACAGCACGACCAACTTTGATAGAAGAGGGAGACCACCTTAAGCAAAAGTCACCACTTTTTTTCTTGGCAGGGGACTGGGCATTAAACAGAACTTAAAAACAAGGACTTAGAGAGTATTATATTAAATATTTCTTCTCTTAAAAATGGCCTGACCACAGGATTGACTCTGTAAACACAGGATAATTTTGTTCTATGGTAATGTAAAAAAAACAAAAAGAAAACAAAAAACAAAGTTAAATCTCAAAACACAATATTCATTGTTCTAAATCCTAGGATTTTAAATATTGTGTTCCGATATGATACAGCATCACTTCTGATTTTATTTAATGGCAATTGATTTGGACCTGCCTTGGGCTAGAAAAATGCCTTTACCTTAGAAGGGTCAGTGCCTCCGCTTGGTCTCAAGTATTTTCCCCATCACTGTTGCTCAAAATTCATTTCATAGTGTTATACATTTTGTGTCCATGCTGTTTAAAAACACTGAATACTGCACTGGGCCTGCTAATATTGGAGGCAAGGACGGTTTAAGCCCCGACACTGGTAAGTATTGGATAAGAGATGATGGTCAGCAGTTTAGGTCTTTTTAGTCACCAAACCCACGTGACCAGTGAGACAGGGCCCTGCTACCTAGATTTTTCTTCCACCTAAGTTGGAAGCTTTTCACTACTTAGAAATCTTGATAAAGCAATTGATGAAAACTTAAAATACACACGCACGCACACACGCTCATGCGCGCACACACACACACACACACACACACACACACACAGAACATCCCTAAATACAATGTCTTTTTTTAATGTCAAATAGACTTAGGTCTCTAAAGAAGCCTTCTTTTTTCTGTTGTATTATTTCCTTCGGCTCTAAGAGGGACTGTATGTCCTCTTAGTTTCAGCTGTCCGTTCATAGTACCCCGGTCCTTCCTGTATCTTCTAAGCAGTCCTGCTCTTTCAGACTTGCTGCTTTAGTGAAGACTCGAACAAAGGAGGATTGTCACCAAGGTCCGTACTGATGTGAGAATCTTGGGATGAAGCTTGTTTTCTAACTTGTTCCTTTCTTCTCCCATTCCTAGGATGCCATTCAAATAGCATCCACCCCCCCAAAAAAAGAAAGTTAGTTATCCTCCATAGCAACCTTGATAGACATAGGAAAAAATATGTAAGGACATATTCTAAGCACAGAGGGAGTCAGGAGTAGAGATGGCAACTACGTTTCAAACCCTGTGTGTTCACCATTGCTTGGAATACCTAGTAAGAGATTTTGAGGCTGTGGCCCAGCAGAGCATGCTGCGAGTGATGGGGCAGTGGTTTGTGTGCTCACGTGGGCTTAACAGTCATTGATGTGGGTACCTCCAAATAGGCAGGATAGAAATAAAGAACAGAGTTTGTCAAATAATAATACTAATAATAAAAGCAGGTCTCGGCCTGTCCTTTATTGTACAAGGCAGTAAAGGATTAGTAAGACTGCCTATCAGCCCTCAGAGAGAAGCCCAGTCATAGCATCATCCATTCCTTCTTTATACCTTGCTGACATTTTGCCCCTGGATGGATGGACAACCCAGGGCACCGCCTGTCTAAATCTGTTTCTTGAGTTTTAATGGCAGAAGTCCTTTGGAGCTGCTGACTTTGTTGTTTTTTATTTTTATTTTTTTTTGGGGGGGTGGTGTTAGTTTTGCTCTTGGGTGCATGCACTGCCCAGAGAGTGGCACAAACAGAGGGAAAGTGAGAAAGCAACCCCTCCCCCCCCCAGAGGGGATGGCCACACCACAGTCCTTTCTCCTCCGTTCTTCTCTTGGGATTTCAGGCACTCATGCACACATGCCTGGCATGATTTTCAAGCTGGGTCTGGGACTCCAATCACCAAGTCAGCCCTGTGGGACCCAGCTGCCCTAACCTCCATGCCACCTGCTGGCCTGCAGTCACTGACTTTGAATACTCTTCAGTCATAATCATTCCTGAGCTGCAGCTGTTCCCTAGAATCTGGATGACTGAGTGATGGGTAGTCAAGGACATTCCTGGCCTTGGGAGTACAGGTAAGAACACGTGGACCGAGTACAGGTACTTTCTGACCGGTCAGTGCAAAAGACTGAGCCCATGGCACACCGACGCCAGAGCCACTGCTGCTTCCTGCCTAGAGCCCTCACTCAGATCTGGTGCTAGGGCACAAAGTGTACACTGGGTCAGAAGATGGGCCCCACCCTAGCGAGAGTTGCGCTGGCTCCGAGGGAGGCTGGGCGTGACCACTTACCTTGGCTTTCTGGAGAACGGTGCCTTTGCCTGTGACCATGACCGAAAGAGGCCTGTTCTTCAGTGCGGTTGCAGAGTTGACTGGGGTGCAGTCAGGGGTGGGGATGGGGGTGGCAGCTTTGGGCTGTGGTTATAGGCAGAGGGCAAAGGCTGAGTCATGGGAATGAAGACACAACCCACCTCCCCCCGCCATGTCCACAAGGCCTTGCAAGCCACTCAGAGTAGCAGCAGTTCCCTGCACTCACGCGGGGGCTCACATTCTCCAAGTGGGAGGTGTCCACAGTGGTGCCCAGTGTCACAGGCCCCGCCTCAGCCTTCTTCAGGTTGTCCTTCACCTCCATGATGTTAAGCTCAAGGTCCACACGCCTGCTCTCCTCGATCCGGCACTCCTCGTCAATCTCCTTCAGCTTCTGCTCGAGGCTGGCCAGGACTCCCTTGTCTGCAGAGAGAATAAGACAGCTGCAGAGAACAGCATCCCAGCCGAGGCCAGGGAGCCCTTCTGGGCAGAGGCAGCACTGAACACACTGGTGCCAGAGAAGATCCCAGGTAGAAATGGATTGCAGGCCTGGCTCCAAGCCTCAGAGCTGGGCTGGGCCTCTCAGAGTGCAGCGACCGCCTTGATGCCCAGGCCGTTAGTGTTCTGCAAAGGCTGGAAAGGCTCTGGATGAAGTGAGTTCTGCCTTTGCAAGGGGCCATATGCCTGAGACTCTTAGATATTTTGACATCTGCTCTTTTTTTAAAGGGGTTTTTGCTTTAGGGAGTGTGTGCTCACCAGACAGAGACAGAGACAGTAAGAGAGTGAGAAATCACCCGCTGTGGGGGGGATGGCTACCCCACAATCCTTTCTCCTCCATTTTCCTCCTGGGATCTTGGGTCCACATACACATGCACCCAACATGATTTTCAAGTCACTGAGTCCGGGGCTCGAACTGTGGTTTGCCATGTGGGAGTCCAGCGACATAACCACTACACCATCTGTTGACCCCTCTATATGGTATTGTTAGTGTCCCAGTAGAGTGAGAGAAGTCCTAGTCAATAGCTTGTGTCCCTATCCACTAGTCTTGGCTTGGTAGAAAGGAAGTTCAGCTACCGTCTCCTTACCTCTGTGCACTCACAATATCCATGACTGACTCTTGGAGGATGGCGGGGCTGTGCCGCCCTGCCCACACAGTTCCCTCAATCCTCTGGCACTTGGTGCTTCCCTGGGCCTATGGAGCAGGGGCCCTTGGCCCTGGCACCTTCTCGGCCCTGTGTTATGCTTCCCTTAACTTGGGCTTCTCAGGTTGCTACTGCAGTGCCAAGAGGTAACGGCCTGCAGGAGGCCACCCGAGGAGCTCGCTGCTGGAAGAATGATGGTACCACATGAGTTCCCCAGAGACTCCTGGGCAGGAGCCAACCGCCACCCAGAAAACTCATGCTGTTTGCAAGTTTTATGTGAAAGCCTTTGTCAGAGGTCAAGCAATAATTGGGACCTATGTTTAAGAAAAGAATCATAGAGGAAAAGAAAGTTGAGAAAATGTGTTAAAGATGGTTTTGTGCTTAGAGTTTAATACTAAATACCAACCAAAAAATTATACTGAATACATTAAAAAAAAAAAGCTTAAAAAATTTAGTAGTCAATACCAACACTTTAAGAATCATTTCCTTAAAATCTGTGACTTACTGGCAACCAGCACTTAGCGTAATGGCTATGTCGCTGGACTCCCACGTAGTCGACCACGGTTCGCGTCCCGGACCTGGTGGCTTAAACTCACACCGGGAGCGTGTGTGTGCGTGCCCAAGATCCCAAGAGGAGAATGGAGGAGAAGGGACTGCAGCGTGACCATCCCCCCTGGGGGGTGATTTCTCGCTTTCTATCTCTAATGTCTCTCTCTGTCTGTCTGGCGAGTACACGCGCCCTATAGCGAAAAACCTCTCAAAAAAAAAAAAAAATCTGTGACTTACTAACCTAGAGTCTTCTGGGACTTATTTCCCAAGAGAATAAAGTTTGCTGAAAATTCTCTCCTCTCCCAGTTAGAATACCCATGTAGGGGAGAAAGGGCTGCTCTGGTTTGTACACTTCAAATGAATCGATTGAACAATGTGTGAATTATACCTCAATAAAGCTGTGATTAAACAACTGGGTAGGGGCCAGCAGATGGCATGGTGGTTACATCGCTGGACTCCCACATGACTAACTGAAGTTTGAGTCCTGGACCCAGTGGCTTCAAACTCACTCAGGGCACATATGCATGGGTGCCCAAGATCCTGAGAGGAGAACGGTGGAGAAGGGATTGCGGCGCGGCCATCCCCCTGGGGGGCTGATTTCTAGCATTCTGTCTCTCTGTGTCTTTGGCAAACCCTATGGCAAAAATCTCTCCAAAAAACAAAAAACAAAAACAAAAAACAAGATAAAACCCCAAGACCTCCCTTCACCAATCATATTAAAACCGTCCCAGAAATCATTTCAGTTTTTCTCCGTACCTGCAATGCCAGTGGTCCCTATTGTCACCATGCTGCCATTTACATTTGAAATGAGCACAGAGTTACTCTATGAAAACTAAGTCCCATGGTATGGGAAGGGTCTATCAGAGGTAAGTTGCTAGGAAACAGCTGCGGATTGATATGAGGATGATTTGGAAATAGTCTGAGACTCAGATTTCTTTGCAAGTGTGTTAAGTTTCAGTTCATTTTAAAGAAGAATGGTGCACTGCAGGTATAGCTACTAAAAACAATAACAAAGGACTCCAGTCAGCTGACCCCGGTCTCAAACTCTGTGGTGACAGGTTGGCATGACATCAAAAAAGAAAAAAAACAAAAGGACTAAGAGGGGGCCAGCAGATGGCATTGGATTCCCACATGGCCAACTGTGGTTTGAGTCCCAGACCTACTGGCTTGAAACCCATGCAGGGCACGTGTGTGTGCATGCCCAAAACCCCAGGAAGAGAATGGAGAATTGCAGTGTGGCCACCCCCCTTGAGGGGTGTTTTCTCACTTTCCCTCTCATATCTCTGTATCTCTCTCTCCAGTGAGCACACATGCCCTATGGCAAAAACCTCTAAAGAAAAGGAAAAAAAAAAAAGAACTAAGAAATAGAATAAAGGGGTCTTCCCCAAAAGAATTCTAGTTACGAAAAAATTGTGCATGGATTTCAAAATGTTCTGCAAAAGATAACATTTGTACTTTTTTGTTGTTGTTAGAAGGTGCATGTATTTGCCAGAGAGAGACAGAGAGATGGAGAGGGAGAAAACACTCCTCAGGGGGGGTGATCACACCGTAACCCCCTTTCCTCCACTTCTCTTTCAGGATTTTGGGCACACACACACATCCGGGGTGTTTCTCAGGCTGCCAGGTCCAGGACTCAAGCCATCAACCATATGTATCTGGCTGCTTTAACCACCAGACCAAGGGAGTTTGTCCAGAACTTGTATTTCATTCCATTTTCCCACAAACTTTTTGAAGTTTCTCATATACATTTAAGTAGAAATAAAATAGTAAAGGCCTACATGTAATTTTAAAAGATTTCTTCCTCTGACTGGCCTTTTCCACTACCTGCCGGTCCTACTGCTATGTGGCAGGAGGGCCTCTGTACAGGACGGCGACCTTTCACACAGGACTGGAGTTGACTGAGGACCTGCAGGGGAGTGCCCGCCTGTGCCATGGGCTGAAGGGGCCGAGGCTCCCGGGTCTGGAAGGCAGGCGGCAGATCCAGATCCATCCCCCAGCAGCCCAGGCCCACCTGGGCAACCCCTCACCTGTACATTTTAACAGGGTCTCTTTCAGCTCGCGTTTCTCCTTGCGGAGCTGAGCCAGGTGCCCCCGGATTTCCTCCTTCTTCTTCTCGAGCCTCTCCTTCTCCTCTGTGTACCTCTTCACCTCGGCTTCCGTCCGATTCTTGCCCAGTTTGATCTCTATGAACCCAGAGAGAAGAAGCCCGAGTTACCTGGGCTGGATGACGAGGGCCGTCCTTGGGCCCAGTCGCCAGGCTCAGAACAAGCCTAGGGCTTTGGCAAATCAGAGCTGAGTGCCAGGCTAGCCCGACAGACAGGAAAGGAAACTGGGCCCAAACCTTTGTTGTGTGACCCTGGGTAAGGTTCACCCCTCTGAACCCCCGTTTCCTTATCTGGAAAGGAGGGGGCTCAGGCTCACTCCTCCAAGCTATGTCCAAAATGTTAAGCTCTTTTCTGGCACAAGCACCTGCAGAGGTGGCCTTCAGCCTGTCCTTCACAGGGGGGCTGGTGCCCGCTGGGGTCACAACCACAGTGTCGGAGCAGCTTGGTGGGAAGGAGATTTTCTGCTGTTCTGTCTGGATTTTAATGGTGGCGACTTTCAGTGACTGTTCCTCAGACTCTGGACTCTCCACCTGCTTTGGATGGGAGCAAACATGACTTAGCCAGCGGCGGGGAGGGGGGTGCAGGGAAGGTGGGAAGGTGGTTCAGCTCACCTGCTGGGGGACGTCCTGTACCTGCTGCTCCAGGCACTCTGGAGACTTTATGCAGGGTTCTTCCAGGGCAGGACCTGGGCCCGGGTCTGCAGGGAAGGCCTCGGTTGGATTATCCAGGGAGGATGATAATGGGGAGGTAGCCTGGGCCTGGGCCCCGCTGGGGCTATGTAGGAAGGACTTGACGGGCGTGAGGTCCAGGTAGACACGGCTGAGCTCGCTCTTGCTCAGAGTCTCTGTGGCAGGGGCGGCTTCCTCGGTGAGCTCCATCTGTAAGAGAAAGAATCAGGTGGCATCCACTGTTATCTGGGCTCGCTCACTCCCACCTCAGAGCTGCTATCCCCGCCCCACATTAGAGTTCCAGGGAGCCACTTGCTCAGTACTGGAAGAGTGGAAGACCCAGGACTTACGACCTAACTTCTCCAAACCTATTCCTCACCTATAAAGAGGGAAATAGCAGTACTTCTCTACGGTGGTTAGGATTAAATGGGACTGTCTACCTGAAGCCCTTAGCACAGCACCAACTTCAGTGCCCAGCACATGGGAACTGCCAGCCATGATCATTCCTCAACTGTCAACTTGGACCCTGAAGACCAATGGTGTCCCTGCTTCAACCCCAGCACCACTCCTGCCCTGACCAGTGCAGTTAGCCAGCTGTTTTATCCAGGAAAGTCCCCAACCCAGGCAAGCTGCATAGCCTCATGTACCATGGATGACCTTGCTGCACCTGGGTCACTATGCTGATGGCCCTATAGGTGACTCGGAGCCCAGTTGTTGCAGGGATTAGCTAATGATCTCTGGCATCAAACCACCGAGGACTGGGCAGCTCCCAACCACTGCCCAGTCAGTCCTTACCGCTGCTGTCAGCTCTGACACTTCCACGTCATCATACAGATCCTCCTGGCGACCCTGGCGGGGTAGGCCATCGATGTACGTGTTTGGCTCTGAGAACTTTCTCTGCATCAGCCTGGGAGACACAGCAGGACACAGCATCATGACCTACCCAGGACAGGCTGCTAAAAGCCTCAGCACTGAAAGATTCAAATTAACCAGTGGTGCCATGAAAGTGTTGGCTGGTGAGTCTGGGGGACTATCTCCAGAGCCTTCCTCCTGGAGGTCTTGGTTCCAGATTCCCCTTCCAGAAAACCAAGCTCCCCTTGCCCCACAGCCCTCCCCTTAGGATCCTTTTGCCATCTTCTTTGATTCTTCCCCTTTGGGATCTCCTTCCACCACCAACAAAATCCTCTTCATCTTCACGACACACAGACTAGATACTATGGTATATCCCCATTTCATGCAGAAGAAAACAGATTCCATTTCTATGGCTCAGCAACTCCCCTCCTCCCCCCAGTACTGGCCATACCACCTGTCCTGAGCCCTAGCTTGCACACCTGGAAAGCACAAGAACCAGCCCCTGCTCTGTTTACTCCAGGTTGTGCCATAGGGGTCCAGAAGAAGTGCGGCATTGGCAGGAAGGACAAGTGAAAGTCAGAAAAGGTGCCATCTCTGCCCAAAGAGCTGAAGGCATCTAACCAGAGCCAGCGATGCCACAGCTGTTACTAGGGGCTGAGGCCCGGGTATAATTCCGACCTCCTGACCTGGCTTCCTGAGGGCTCCCCAGAGCCATGGACTTTGCATCCTCCTGCTGCTGGCCAGAGCAGGGCCTAGCCCTGTGTTCTCAGCTGCCGCCTGCTCCAGCTGGCCACCAGAGACCAGTCTGGGCCCATGGTCTAGAAGCATGGCAAGCAATGTGAGGTGCAGAGGGAAAGCTGCTTCATACTCACAAGAGAGAGTTTTTGGCCGCACTCACAATACAGGAAACCCTATCGGCATCCACGTAGTCATAGGTGAACTCTTCCGGGTCCGTCTTAGAGCCTGACTCAGAGAGCAGGAGGCCGAGCCAGTGGCCCATTTCCTCGGAGGTCTTAGCCTGGAAGGGCCGAGACACATGAGCAGGACAGGGGTGAGCTGTCTGGTGCCAGCCCCTTGCCACCAGGACATAAGGACCCCTATCCAATCCCCACCCAGGCAAGCCTCTGAGGAAGCCCGAGCCAGGTCCTTTTTTACCAGCTGGTCTCATCCTCCAATAATTCCAAAAATCATCTCCTGACAGTGACATCCTGAAGCCACCTCCATTATGCTATGGACATTTGTCCCAGGTGTCATATATGATTTATATCTGTTTCTAGGTGATCGTTAGCAATCATTTTAATAGTTAGCACCTGTTTGTAGTTATCATTGTGAACTATTGACAAATTGTGTGCATTTTAGGTTGACAGCTACTTGATGAGCCATCCCCTGTCAGTTTATCACGGTAACTCTAAAGGTTGCCTGGATCCCTGCTAAGAAATAACATTCGTTGTTACTTTGGCTTGTGGCTTCAATATAGTCAAGATGTCCTAAATGCCTTCCACCAGCTCCGTGAGCTCTGCTAAATCACGAACTAAATCTCAGGGAGTTTGGTGCTCGGTCTCTCCCAGGGGATGGTGCATGCTCATCAGATACTTCTATGAAAATGTCAACAGTTTTTCTTGCCTTTATAAAGAGAAGAAAACTGGAATTCTATCAAAGCTATAGGTTAATATTCATGAGGCAAAACCACTCCGGCATCGGCATGGTGTCACATAGCTCTACCGCCCTTCCTACTACATTCTCTTCCGAGAAGCAGCTGGAAGCTGAACGGGATAGTTTGGCTGGCTTCCTCTTCCCATTTATCTTCAGCCAGATTTCTCACTACACCTCTTCCCCCCTTTTGAGTTCCTGCCAGCTCTGCCCTGGGCAACTGTAACAGCCTCCTTGTAAGTCTCATTTGGGGGCCAGCAGGCGCTGTGGTGGTTGGGATGCTGGACTCCCACATGGCTGACTCTGGTTCAAGTCCCAGACCTGGCAGCTCACGTGCTCACTTTCCTCCCTCCCTCTCTGTCTCTCTGGTGAGCACATGTGCCCTATAGTAAATTTACAAAATAATGATACTAAAAAATTAAATTAAAAATTCTTTTAAAAAATGCTATTAGAAAAAGTCTTATTCTGTTCCTCTTGTCCTTCCATCAACTCCCACCCCCACCAGGAGCTGAAGGAAACATCTCAAAATCCAAATCTGAGCACGAGGTCCACCCTGATGACTGACTCTCCAGGGGCTCCACTGCTCCTAGGATCAAGCCTGCCCCTTCCTTCCTGCAGTCCCCCACCCATCCAGCACATACTCAGGACACACCCCACTTGTCAGCAACTGAACTAAGCAATTTCTTGGGTAGGTGACTGAGTCCCATCACACTCTCACACTACAACACGAGTTCCACAGGGATAGGGAGCGTTTCTCTCTTGATCACTGTTTTACTGTACTGAGAAGACATTTGCATTTAGGGACTTGGATGGTGAATGAGTACAAGTTTGTCCCTGGGAGGTGCTGCGATGTGGTTCTCATAGCCACCAGAGGGCGGTACTGGAGCAAACTCTGAACCAAGATCCCTGGCTACAGGACTAAGTGAACAGGAGTGAACCAGCAAGTGGATGCCTGTGTGTGTGGAAAGAACTTGGGATCTGCCTGCCCCAGCTCACTGCAAGACATTATGTCACCTTCTATTTTTGTAGCTATAACATCACATCAAACAGAGGGCGGGGAGTGGGGGCATTGTAATTGTGTCACAAAGCGAATTCTTCCCCCCAGACAAGCTCTAACAGAGGCTGGCCCAGCTGGTTCGGGCAAACTAAACAGCACCCACTTTGAAGCCCCAGAAACTTTCCTGCAGTGCAGCGAGTTATAAATAATCTTCTTGCCCTAAGTGCAGGAAGTCACTCATTGACCCACTCCTATAACACAACCACTCTGAGGTTAGAAAAGGAATGGAAATTTTTTTAAATGCAAACAATCTCAGGCAGAGGAAGTAAAAATAATGTGTAGCTACATCCTCCCTCGGTAGGATTACTTGAGACTGGCAGCCAACAGCTGTGACTTCTGCGCCCTGGCTGTCCCTGCCACCTGCCCCACAGGCCAGCGATACCTCGAGCTTGGCCAGCTCCTCGCCGTTGTGGAGAATGCGGAAGGAATAGAGGTGGTCGGGGCTCGGGTCTGGGACCACCTCGCAGCCCACCAGGCTGAGGGGCTGCTGGGCCACCCTGCTCCGGTTCCGGTCCTGGTAGAAGTGCAGGTGACTGTCCCTGACGGAGCACCAACGGGACTTCCACTGGCTGTTCACCAGCACGTTCAGGTAGCCTGCAGGGGGAGACGCAGAGGGGACGAGGCTGCAGGAGAGGAGGAGGCCTCGGGACGGGAGGAGGCTAGGCAGTGATGAGCCACCAGGCCTCCTGAGAGTCTCCCCAGGAATCCCAGAACCTGTCACGCCCTTGTCATCTCATGGAGGCTGCATGTCTTATAGCACTGTCGTCTTCCTCCGTGTAAGCAGCTGGACCCTTTGAAGATGGGTAGCACAGCTGCACTGGTTTGGGACAAAAGTATGCCAGAGAGAAGTGAGTAGTGTCCATATCAGACCAGGCCAGTGAGTATGTGACGGGCAGAGGCCCCCACGCTGGGGCCTCATCTCCACAGCTCTGTGCCCAGCCAGCAGCCCGCCTCCTGCCTCTGGTGGCTCAGTGTGCAGGAAGCTCCCCCAGTCCACATGTCCTTGTGGCAAGTTCAACCCTGTCGCCCCTGCAACCCTGCAGTCTCCCTGACAGTCCTTCCATCCCTGGCCTTTCACACTCAGCCTGAACTGCCTTCTTCCTCCTGGTCCTCCCTGGGCCAACTCCGTGCTCTGCCTTTGTTAGACGCTTGGATTGGGCTCAGTGAAACGCTGTTGGCCTCCCCAGCTAGACACGGTAAGCTCCTCAAGGGCAGGAGCTGTGCCTCCTTCCTTTCCAGGGCCCAGGAGGACACTGGCCACACTTCTCTCGGGGGCTCTCTGGAGAACCTGCCTTCCACCTTCCTCTCTGAGAGCCCCCGTCCCATCTCTCAGCACCTTCCCCATCTCCAGGCCACCACTTGTCCTCACTCCCAAGTTCTCCACAGGGAGGCTCAATCTGATGTGACATTGGCCCAGCTGTGGCCAGTGGGAGGCAGGCAGGCAGCCCCAGGTATAGCATCAAAGAAAGTCCTGTGGCCTCTTCCCCAGGGACACAAGAACTGCCAGCAGGGGGATGCCCATCATGCAATTCTTTTTTATCCTCAAATGACTGCATGTGTTGGGTTCAGTTTCCCAAGGAGAGGGCAAGCCTTTTCCCCCCATAGCTGATGCCACACACCGAGCACAGCATTGTGATGAGGGCTACGAAACTGAGTGAAATGCAGCCTTCAGGACCCTCTGCACACCCACCTGTGGGGGCTGACATCTCCCAGGCTCCCTGCCTTCCCAGAGGCACTAGCTTAGCAATTGGCTACCTCCACCCATCCCCGAGGGAGTGGCCGCTGCTCTGGGCCTTGGCCACGATGAGTGAGACTGTAGGGTGCAACTGCACGGCCACTTCCCACGCAGCCCAGTGCCGGACACACAGTGGGGCTGACTGTCTCCCAACCACATTAACACCATATCACACAGCAGGGCGGAAGAATTAGACACCAGGACTGGGAACTCCAGGCCATCCGGGCAGATGCCACACTCACTCGTCATAGTTCTCTGGACCAAAGAGATCTCTGGGTCAGGAGAGGTGGGAGTTCAGATCTGCACACACCTCACGGCCTGGGCAGGAGAGCAACTGAACTCTCTCGCCCTCCCCAGCCACAGGGGCAGGAGCCTGCTGAGCTGCTGAGAAGACCTCTGCGATAACCAGCCACATCCCAGCAGTGACTCCCTGGGACTGGGCTTCCACGCCAAACCTCGTGTCCTCCAAGACTGCAGAGGCAGCCAGCGTTGGGCCCCTACCCAGTGCCCTAGCTGGAGAAGCAGGGGCTCCCAGGGTAAGACCCACCTGCTGCCTTCCCATCCTTTCCCAGCCAAGCAAACTTAACTGGAGCTCGGGAAGAGAGTCCAGGATGGGTGTGACTCTGATGAGGAAGAGGAACAGGCCCAGAGGTGGATGGAAGGGCCTTCTGGGGGTGGGAGGCTTTGCAGTCGGCACTAAGCCCCAGCTTGGGGATCAGGGCACTGCGCGTGCTGCAGGATATTTTCTAGAAGAGGTCTATCTCCTCTCCTGCCTTCGGTTTCCTCAGGTGTGAGTAAGGGCAGTAAAGATGAGCTCTAGGGGCTCATGGTACCCCCACACTCTGTGCCAGCAGCACAGGTTCCTCATTGTCTTCCTAACAGCGCTTATGTGTTCCTATCTTGGTCTTGGCTCTGCCCACAGGCGCCATTCCAGGCTACTCTGCTCCCACCTCCTTCAAGCCTCAGGCCCACAAAGCCATCTCTGACCCCAGAGCTACAAGGACGACACAGTATGTACTTAGGAGTATAAAGTCACCGGCTCTCCTGGGTGGTCATCTCTCAGGACTGTGCCAGGTTCCCCTTCCTAACACTGTGCCTTCCATCTCCAGAAATACAGACCAAATGAACATCATTTTTAAAAGAATATTAAGAGGACACCAATCAGTTACCCTTCACTTCCACAAAGGATCCACCATTCCAGCAAGAGTCTGGCTAGGCAGAAAGAACGACCTGCACTGAAGACAAATGGAAACCAAAGCGTGTGGGCTCTTTTTAGCCCAGCAATGCTTAAAGCAAGACCCGAGACCCTCTGCCTTTGCTGTCTGAACTCGCCTCCCCGGAGAAGGCTCCAACCCGGTGAACTAGCCCTCTGGTCTTGGAGGCCGCTAAGGGTCTTACTGGAGGTCTCGAGGGACCTGTCTGGAGGCTCCAGCGAGGTGGATTTCTTCCTGCCCAGGTTCATTAGGTTGCTCAGTTTGAGACCGGCAGAACATTTCTTTTTGACTGTCAAGATGAGAGAGAAAGCAGTCAGCATTGCACACAGCTCACCCATGTGCCCAAATAGAGGCGGGAGAAATAGCAAACCCACTTCCACTATATCCACCCCTCCCTCCTCCATGGCGTGCACCTGGGCATGCATGCATGCACATGCATGCACACACACGAGTCTGTTCTTCAAACCAGCATCTGCGGGCCAGAGTTAGGAGTCACTAAACTTTCTTAAATCACAAAGACTTCTCAGAGAATCTATAAGCATTTGAGAGTCTTTAGAGCCTGTATTAATTCTCAGAAATTTGAGTTGGCTAGTTAATAAGAAGAGACGAAGACTATTCTACCCCCAGCATTTCATGAAACCTGACTTCAGTTTGGCCATTTTTCTCTCTCTCTCTTTTTTTTTTTTTTCTGGATCTATTGGGTACAGCATTTCCACATAGTCTATAAACTGGCGGTAATTTATCAATCTGGCTGCTGAAATCCACGAGGGTTGAGCCAGACAGCCAAGGCTCAGTTCCTGGAGCACCATCGCCTTCCTGACCGTGAGGCTGAGAGCTGTGGTGCTGTTACCGTCTTTGGCCTCTGGGGCCTCAGGGTGGCCATCCACAGAGCTCCCAAACTCCGAAGCAGACAGGTACTTCTCAGCTATATCTGGCTGTGAATGAAAGGGAGGTGAAGAGGGAATTACTGGCTGGAAACTGTTATCGTGAGACTTCAACTAGAGTGAAAATAACAGGTGGCTCTTAGGTATAGGCTGGAGGTCACCTGACCAGAGACGCCCACCAGCTACCCAAATAGCAGCACCTGGGTGGCCAGTAGGACACTGGCCATGCTCTTCTCTGGGGCTCTCTGGAAGCCCTGCCCTCTCCCTCTGTCCCTGAAGGCCCCTGTCCCAAACCATGGCACCATCTCCACCCTCAAGCCACCACCCATCATTGCTCGCAAGTGTTCCACATGGCGGCTCAACCTGATGTGACAGTGGCTAGTCAATGGGAGGCAGGCAGGCAGCCCCAGGTCAGTGTCCACACCTCAGTGAGGGCGACTGTCAAGCTGAGGACCGCCCATACTGGGAGTCCAAGGAAGTCTTCGAGAGGCGACTATCGAGCTAGCACGATGGGCTTCAGAGCGGGGCTGGCTCATGTGCAGGGGACCAGACCGCGATCTACGGCCTGGCTTGGGTACCCTGCAGCTAGTCTGGTGCGCAAGTTCAATGAGCCCTCCTGAGCCTCAGTCTGCACATGTGTCAGGTGGGGTGACATCCTGGGCAGTGCTGGGCCCAGAGGGCACCCCTGCGGAAGTGTAGCCCTGCTTCTGTGAGAGCAGGCAGCACTCAGACCAGTCCCACCAGGCCTCTTCAAGAGGACCTCCTCCTGCAGACCCCTGGGAAAGGAGCCAAAGGCCTCTCTGTTAGCAGGACCATTAGGCAGGGTCCTGGGACGTCCCCGGCCAGGAAACACGCCGGGTCTTTAGGGGGAGCTCTTGTTTCTCAGCCCAGTGTGAAGAAACTCCAAAGACACTCAGACTTTTGTTTTCTTGTCAGTGGCCGAGGACTGAGTGAAGCAGCCGAAACGTCACCCCTCTGAAGTCTCTGCAGAAGGGATGTGGGTATTTCTCCGGGTGGGACTTCTCCTGTGCCCTCCCAGAGAACAAAGGGCCTCCACCCAGCTCAAGCCCTCTGCACACCCCATTGCTCTTCTCTCTGCCAGGCCCGAGGATCCCAAAATGGAACAATGACCCTCTGGCTGCTCTGTACATGCCCGGGCTTCAAGGTACCCACCTGCAGAGACCCAGGGACATGAAATGTGACCTCCTAGATGACAGCCCTCTCCTTGGCCAGCCCCAACCCAACCTCTCGGACCGTGACTCTCGAGCCCAGCACTCCCTGCAAATGGACACTAGAGCCCTTTGACAGGGATTGGCACCAAGCATCGCCCCGACTCTGAGGCTCTACTGGGGATACGTTGGAAGGGAGAGCCTCATACAGTAAATCTGCTGAAGAATGTGGAGCAAAGTTCCTTCTGTTCTAATAAAGCTCTCCCTCCAAGCAAGAAAACATTTCAGGTCCGTATCAGTTTCATCCATTTTCCTGCCAAGCCAAAATTTCTGCTCTTATCCAAGCAGTCATGTTTCTTATTAATTGGTCTGAAATACAAAAGCCAAGCTCCCAATTTTACACTTTTCATTTTTACAGAGGAAAAAACAAGTGGAATTGGTTGCTCCCAGGCGGGTAGAGGTAGAGGCTTACTTTCTGACAGTTAGGCCGCTGGGCATCTGAGGTGTACTGGTTTCCTTCAAACATGCTTTCGCAGGGCAGGCCGCTGACCTCCTGGATGACCTGAAGTGAGAGGATAGTGGTCAGCAGAGGCTGGGCTGTCTGAGAGAGGCCCTCCTGACCTGCACTTGCAGACAGACCAAAGCGGAGCCCAGGTCAGAAGAGTGGGTAGAGGTGAGAGAGCAGATGCATTTTTCTAAGAACAGAGAGCCACCTTCGGACCCAGCTGGGCAGGCTGTGGTGGAGAGAGCTTGCTGCTTGGTCCTTTCATGCAGGCTTCTGCACATTCTGGGAGTAGGAGATTGAGGGCCTTTGCCCAAAGCCCAAAGATGACCTGAGTCGCCTGTTGTGGACTCCACAAGCCCCCTTCCTGCCACCGTCTTGGCCAGGGATCTGACCTGTTGTGGGTGTGAGGAATGGTGGCACTGGCTGGATGGTCCCTGAATTTAGGGGGCCATAGGATTCTGCTTAGGAGCAGGCCTGCAAACTGCCTTGGGCTGACCTCCAGCTTGCTAGGCCTGCCTTCCCCCATTGACCCACCCTCCTTGGGAAGCCCACCTTGTAACTGCCCCTGGGCCTGGGCTGGGTGCAGACAGATGCAGGAAGTCAGAGGTGGCTCTGACTACACCAGGCAGCACCCCCAATGGGAGCCAAGGCCCACCTGGGGAAGTCCCAGGGGACACAGCCCAGAACCCCCACAAACATGCTGCCCATCAGAAGCCTCCTGGGGGTATAGAGCTAGCAGGAGTGACTTGAGATCTTCCTTTTCGGGTCTCTGCCTAGAGCATTTCTGGAAATGGGTTTAAAATAAGAAGAGCCAGGGTTGGCAGGTGGCGTGGTGGTTAAGGTGACTGGACTCCCACATGGCTGACTGAGGTTCAAATCTCCACCCTGGCAGCTTGCTTTCTCACTTTCTTTCTCTCTCTCTCTGTCTCTTTCTGGTCAACTTCAATAAAATAAAATAAGAGCCAAAGAGCAAAGGTTGGCTGGCTCTGGAGAAGGGGAAAATGAGGCATTTCTCACATCTGAAATTGACTCCAGTTGGGACTTTGTTCTACACCAAAAACAAGTCCTCCTGGTCCTCATCAATCCTTCTTTTCCTATACCCTGTCTTACTCACTCTGTACTAAGGGGGTTGCCTCTTAGCCTGGTGGTTAAGGGAGCCAGATCCCATATGGCCAACTGAGCAGTTCAAGTTCCAGTCCTGGTGGCTTGAAAAACATGCCAGGCACACGTGCATGCATGCCCCCAGATCCCCAGAGGGTGGAGAAGTGGAGGAAAAGGAACTGCAGCATGACCACACCCTCTGGGGGATGCTTTCTCTCTCTCCTTTTCTTTCTCTTGTGAGCGCATATACTGACAAAAATCTTTTCTTTTTTCTAATTATAATAAGGATTGAGGTCCCTTCTATAAGCTTTAGACTCCTGTAGGCTAGGACTAGAATTCTCAAAACATTTAGTGGGTTCACAAAAATAGCCCACCTGCTCCAAATATGGGTCCTAAGCACTAGGGGTGGCCATTGCCTCACGCAGGTATTATTTTCAGCCACTCTGATAGGGTGATCCAGGTCTGTTCCTGACAGGCTCAATGAGGTAGTTTGGTTTAGCCGGGCTGGTGAGGAAATCAAATACTCCCATGCTGGAAATGCCACCATGGCCATGATAGGGCAGTGGGCAGAAGGAAGGGGTAAGGAGCTGCTCGGATTCTCCCTAGCCTCACCAGGGGGCCTGCCACATTTGGAGACCCCTTTGCAACTGTGGGTCCCTTCCTGGTACAAACCTCATGCCTTCTGGAATCATCAAGCTATAACATTGGCAAGCAAGCCCTTCCCCAGGTGCTCCACAGCGCACACCGGGTAAGTGCAGGCAGAACTGAGCATGTGCATCGTGGGGTAGAAAACACAGTTTGGTGGTCACAGACCTATGGCTGAAAGCCAGTACTGCCCCTCACGTGCCCAGTGACCTTGATGAGTCACCTCCACTGCCTGAGCCTTAATGTCCACTCTTGTGAAATGGGCACATAACATTGCCCAGCTACCCCCAGGGTGGGTAAGTGGGTTAAATTTGCTAAAAGTCCATGGTCCTTGATAACAACTTTTTTTTTTCAGTCAGTCCATTTTATTTATGTCAGAGAGCACCTCACAGGATCTTGTCACACTGCATCGTTTTCCTGTTGTCCTCCAGCTCATCAGGATCCTTGGCATGAATGCAAAATTGGATGCATTTTTCAAACCAACCCAGGGATCAGAATCCACAGTCGGCCCTGGGGTGGCCCAGTTTTGCTGGAAATACTTAACCAATGGCAGTGATATTTATTCTTTAATAAAGAGATGCCTGATATCTCACTAGAGGCAAAATGGTGAGTGGACTTGAACTGCATCCCGAGTCTGGGCTACCGAGAAGGTATCAGACCTTGCAGCAAAGTGCCACGCTCAGATGCCATAAGCCTGACAGCTATCACTTAGAATGCAGGGGCCTGGGACCTTGAGGATCACAGACTCTACCCCTGACTGTATCATCCAACCCTCTAGGAAGAGCTGGGAGCCAGAACTCCAGGAGCCCCTCAGAGTGAGCCCTGGAGGGGGGGGCCCTTTTCCCCAGCAGCCTGGTCTCCCTCACCCGGAGCCACTGCTCAGCTTGGTCCTTGCTCTGCAGGCCCAGCACGATCACATCGGCGTTCATTGGCGTGATCTTCAGCTTGTGCTCCTTCTTCCGCACGTGCTTCTCCTTGTGAATGACGCTGCTGCCCAGCAGGTTCACATCCAGCTGAGGGCTGTGATCCTTGGAGGATTTGTAGCACTGGAAGAAAAGGAAGAAGACACATGACTTTACCTAGTGAAGATCTGCAAAGGAGAGGATCCACTGGACACTGAGGGACCTACTTAACCCACTGAGTCCACGAGGCTGGACACCCAACAGCAGGCCCAGAGCTTTGACCTCAAGTAGCAGCAACTCTGGTCCTTAACATCTGTCTCCCTCTCCTTCATACCTCCTTCTCTCAGGCTTCAGCCAGGGGTGCCCCAGGACCCTGCTTCTCCAAGTGACTCCATCTTGCTCTAGGCCTGGGGTGAGGAAGGCCCTAAAATATGTCCTCTGTAGACAACTTTCACCTCACTGTGGTGGAACAAACTTTGACCATGTCTACACGGCTCTGCAATTCTTGGTTTGCTCAGAAAAGGATCCATAGGGTACAAAAATAAAGCTTATTATCTGCCAAGTTAGGGAATGATATGTTAGCAAGAAAGGAAGGAGCCTTCTTCCCCTACAGGAGAGAATGCTCCCCGGCTCCATGTCTCAGTTGCAGGACGAGGGCCCTTAAAGAGTTGCTTAGTAGGACTGCCTGAAATGACACTTGTACAGAGCAGAGCTCACGGCAGCCAGTGACAAAAGGTGTTTAGAGTAATTCTGGGGAACTGCAAATCAGGATCTACAATCACAAATGTTCATTTAAAACAGGAACTAGGACTGTTGTCAGAGTAGTATCTTCTAATTCCTTTCATGGTCTTTTCTTGCAATCGATAATTCCAAACATTGCGGCTTCTGGGAAGGTAGTTCTGGCTCGTGCGCTACACAGATGGAAGCAGTGGACACAACTGGGGCTGCGGGCTGGGCTGTGGGAGCCCTGATTGGCCTGCAGGGGTCAGGATGTGAGGAAGGACCAGGGGACAGAAAGGTGTGTCTTTCTCAAAAGAAAAGGTGTGTGGGGTGGGAGGGGGAGGGGGCGGGGTGGTAATCGCAGCCCCCTTTGAGAGCCTGATGAAAACGACCACAGGCTAAACGTTCCAAACCCCCAAATCCGAAATGCTCCTCATCTGAAACTTTTTGACTCTGACATGATACAAGTGAAAAATTCTACTTCTGACCTCTTGGGATGGGTCTTAGTTGAAATGCTGAAATACAAAAATATAGTAGGAAATGACCTCAGGCTGTATGGATAAGGTATACATGAAACATAAACGAATTTCATGTTTAGACTTGAGTCCTATCCCCAGGCTACCTCATCATGTACACACAAATATTCCAAAGGTCTGAAAAAAAATCCAAACTACAAACTCTTCTAATTCCTGGCACGTCAGAGATGGGATATTCTGTAGGCCTTTCTAGTTCAGAAAAAGCACATTCGTGTGCACACACAAGTTTCTGCAGACAATTTAGGGTGGGGCGGTGCGATAAAATCTCCTATAGAAAAAGGCTGTAAGTCCTGGTATCAGGCCCCAAACTGTACCCCCTCTCCTTCCACCACCCCAAAAGGAGCTGTGGGGCCCACTGACCAGGAGTCTGGTGTCCCTGATGACGCAGAGCTGCTTGGCCCACTGCCCCAGCCACTTCTTGCGCCACAGGAAGGCACAGATGCGGGCGTCGCGCATCAGCTCGATGCTGGCCTCAGGTGAGGGCCACTGGTAGGGGGCCGACTTGCTCTTGCTGTTTTCGTCCTCGTCGTAGGACTCGTAGGAGCTGCTCACGGCCTCTCCGTCCTCTGCAAGGAAGACCTGCTCTGTCAGGGCCTGCCAGGCAAGCATGGCTGAGGAGGGCAGCATGCCGGACGGGCCAGTGGCCCTGGGTCACAACCCTCCTGCCTCTTCGTGCTTAGAAGCAGACCTCCCTGAGGCCAGGGCTGCCTTTCATGCCCACAATCCCCGATGCTGCCCCTGGCCACAAAACTCAAGTAACTTAAAATTAAAGTCTCTGCCTTTCCCTCCTCAAACTCTGCCATCTCAGACCCCACAGAGCCCCTGAGAGGCACTGCCCCAACAGGCCGACCGTTTGCTCTTGAGAAGATCAGCTCTCCTCAAATGAGGGAGGTGAGTTGGGACCTTTCTGGGTTCTTCCAGGCCTGGTCCTCTGTCATTCTAGGGAGTCAGGAGCCAGAGCTGAAGCTTGGAAGGCCTCTAGAGCCTGCCTGGCTGGGCCTGATTCTGTCCTGGGTTAGCGGAAGGGGCTGTGGCTCTTCAGAAATTACCTTTCTTTGGGGGATTGGATAGTGTTGTAGTGGCAAAATGTGATGCTCTGTGACCTACATGGGAAGGTTCTTGGTTCTCATTTGGAGACCTCCCTGAGCACATCCATGACCCAGGGCTGGCTGAGGCTGGGGGGTGCGGGAGAATGACAGGGTCAAGACTCTGTTGGGGATATTGGTCTCTCTCTCTCTCGTATGGAAGAAATAAAATAAACTTGAAAAATATATTTACTCACTCACTCAATCAATCAATTAATCATCTATTACCTCTAAAAAGCATGGAGAAGAAGAAAGCTTAGGATCCCCAGTTCAATCTCTGGCTCAGTACAGGATGCCCATCTTTCGTAACCTCAATGCTCGACCTATGTGCCTCTTGGAAAGAGAGCGCTTCACCTCATGACCACTGGACACTCCCTCCCATTCCTGGGCAGCACTAATAGTCAGAAAACAGGCCCACTCTCTGCCCCCCCATAACTTCCACATGGCCACCCCTGTCCTGTCCTCAAGGCGGGCTTGCTCCGACTTCCCTTCTATGACACCTGCAGAAATGGAATAGCTGGGAGGACTGCAGGCCGGGGATCATGGTGTGACCAGACCCTGTGGAGGGTGCTCCCCTGTCTCTCTCTCACATGTATGTGCGCATGCTCTATCATGAATAGAGAAAATAACAGAAGAAGAGAGACACCCCCATGGGCCCTATCCCCAAAGAGTCCAGAAGCCCTCATCTTATCTGCATTGCTGTAAAAAATCAGAACCACATTTGAATTAAAATATAGGAAAACAGAATTGGGACACTGCAACAGTTATTCTAATGACAGTGTCAATGTAAAGGTGCTTTGAATTTTGTTTTAATCTTTCTAAAACTAATGCTTTACATATTTTAGTGTCGTTTTCCTCTAGAAACAGTGTGGTATGACCCCTCTTCAGGGCCTAATAAAAAGTTACACAGTTCATAATTCTATATCTATTAAATAAGCAAAGATTGAAAATAACAGTACTTCCCAGTGGGGGAGCCTGAACTGTAATATCGCTGGGAGCGCGTAAGTTAACACAGCCCCTCAGAAAGCAGTCTGGCAGCCTGCTGTTTCCAGAGCTCTGAACACACCAGTACTCTTTGATCCAATAATCTCAGTCCTGGAAGTCTATCCTAGGAAACTAGTTTTTTTTTTTCCCAAAAAGATGAGGGGAGAATGTTACATGCATTAAAATATTCATTGAAGTGCTACTTGAGAGTCAGCAGAAGGGGACAGGTAAGTTAAGTATGACTGCACTCACTCAGGCGCATACCCTGCAACTGCAACTTGGAAAACTAGTCTGTCATTCCAGAGTCTCCCTAAACTACAATGATAAGAAGGGAAGCACACTTAGAATCACATATGCACGCAGATCAGTACTGTAAGGCAACAGAAAGAACTCAAAATAGTTGATCTGACAAGGAAGTAAGATCAGGGTTGTTTGTTTTATTTTCTGCTTTTTAAGTTTTGCTATAGGGCATGTACACTCACCAGAGATTGAGTGAGTGAGAGAGAGAAAGTGAGAAAGCAAGCTGCCACGTCGGGACTTGAACCACAGTCTAGTGCCTTAACCACCATGCCTCCTGTTGGAACAGGATCAAGGTTTTTAAAAAGTTTTGTTTTCCTCATAATATTGTATTATTTGTAGAATAAGTGAAATAAGTGCTGACCGTGTAGTGCAGTAGCTAAGTATTGTGCACAGTGAGCTGGATCCCACAGGGCTGACTGTGGTTTGAATCCTAGCCCAGGTAGCTTGAAAAACATGTTGGGCATGTGTGCATATGATTGCAGCATGACCGTGCCTCATTGTGGGGTACTTTCTCTTTCTCTCTCTTCTTCCCTCTCCCTCTCCCTCTCTCCTCTCACTCTCTTATCCTGATCAGTGCACATGACCTCTGTTAAATGAAAAAGAAAAAAAAGTGAAATAAGAGAAAGATACAATATCATTGGGGCTATTTCTTTATAACGAAAATTAGTGGATGAAGTTATAGAGTTTAGTGTGAAGTGGGGAAAAATCCCACTGTTTTGTGCCTCTGGAGTTGTCCAATATATTTCACTGAGAATCGAAGGGCTGCCCACCCTCCTCCATGGTTCAGGAAGCTAAAAAAGAAGAAACAGCTAATCATAGTTCCTGGAGTAGCTTGGAGGAAGTTTAGGGAAAATGCATTAATAATTTTACTTATCCCTAAGAGGGATCATAGCACACCATAAATATAAGTTATTCTTAAAACAGATACTTGGCTTCTAGAGGGTGCAGGGTAATCAGGAAGGAAAGGCAGGATGCTCATATTATTCCATCCCTATGTTTGCTGTCCCAGTAGCCTGTCCCCCTCTGGGGTCTGCTGGAAGTCCTTGGGAACCAAGGGCAGAACAGCTATGCATGCCCTAGGACTTTCAGCCACGCGTGCCGGTGCTGCAGGCAGCGTGAGTCTCTGAAAGGCCAAGGAAGCCACTCTGGGAGGAAACCGCACAGGCACGCACACGCAGGATGCATGCATGAGGACAAACACGAGCAGTGCCACCTCGGGGCATGCACCCATCTCAGAGCCAGGCAGCAGGCAGGCAAGGCAGCAGCCACTGGCATGCCAGGTCTGGAGACAAGCAGTACCCAGAGTGATTGTGGCATAAATGACTCCTTCGGGCACTTGCACCCATCTGGGGACTCCAGTGGGAACAAATTCGCCAGAATGACCTGCACGATATCCAAAAGGACAGAGAGAGGCAAGAAGAGAGAGACAAGATGAAGACAGGGACATACCCAAGAACAGGGACACAAAGAGAGACGCCCAGATGTAGCCTGGCTGCCTGTGCACCAGAGGTTAGTGCTGGCCCACTGGAAGTGTGGGCTGGTCCTGTGAGGCCATGGTCCGACAAGAACACTATTTCCTGGCCCCCTTCGCATGCAGCGATGACCACATGACAACCTATCCCCAGTGGAATGCGGGTAGATGAGGTGTGTGTACTTCTGGCTGGCATATTTAAGCAGCAGAGGGTTCTGTGACTCTCAAGGGTGGCTGAACCAAACATGAAGGAGCCTGGATACCTTACAGTAGATGAGGACCAGGGACACGCACACCATTCTACTCCAGGAGTGAGAAACAAACTATTATTATTATTATTATTATTATTATTATTTAGGGTTTTTTTTTTCCCATAGGGTACATATACTCACCAGAGAGAGACAATGAAAGGGAAAGTAAGAAATCACACCCCAGGGTGCATGGCCACACTCAATCCCGTCTCTGTTCTCCTCTCAGGATTTTAGACATGCACGCACATGCACCAGTGTGATATTCAAGGAGCCAGCCAGGTCCAGAACTCTAAGTGTGGTTGGCTGTGTGGGAGTCTAGCACCTTAACTACCATGCCACCTGCTGACCCAGAGATTTTTCTTGTGTATTATAAATTGCAATGGGAACCAGACAGTGGCACAGTAGCAAATATGATGTTCTGTGATGCTGACCAATATGGGAAGGTTCTGGGTTCACATTTGCAGACTGCTCTGATTCCTCTGGATACATATGTATGCGTGATGTGGGGCCGGCTGAGGCTGGGGGTGAAGTGTGACATCCAGACTTTATTGGGGGTGCTATCTCTCTGTCTCACCCTCTCTACCTTCCTTACTCATGAAAGAAATGAATGAGTAAACTTAAAAAAGAAATCTTAAAAAAAAAAAAAAAGCCTAAAACTGGGGGATTATTTGATATAGCAGCCACCATTATCCAAGAGGAGACAGCATTAGTGAAGTATCTGATTCTTGGGCAAGAAGGACAGACTTTAATAACTCCAGCAGAGCCATCGGGTACTCACTCAGTGTTTGTGGAAAGAGGATCTGACCCAGTGGGGCACTGTGGAGACAAGAATCCCAGCAACTGACCTGCAGGAAGTCAGGAAATCTCAGCCCGGCCAAGCACCTTGAGTAAGGGGCAGGGCCCAGCACTCATTCCTCCTGCCACTAACTGCACGGCACACAGCTCCAACAGGTGTGGGGAGAGGCAGGAAGTGAGAACAGGCTGGCTTATGGACAACCGCCCACACCAAGTGTAACCACTGCTCCCAAGTCATCCCCAAGGCTTTGCTGGCTGGAGAGGCAAGGCCATCCTCCTCACCTTGCTGTATACTTCCATGGCTGAATTTCCTGTGTCTCAGAGCTTTCTGGACCCAATCCCCATGGTGAGTTCAAGCTGTCTGGGATGACCTCCCTTGCCCTGGCTACAACTCACATGAACTCACAGTCGTGAGACAAACTCCACAAAGCCCAGGCCTTTCTCATCACTTGTTTGTGTCTAGATGAAGTGTCTGCCCCACAAACAGGCCCCCGAGTATGTCTGGGAGGCAAGCCCCGGCTGGCATGGGCCACACCCGGGATAGACGGGTTTAAGACGCATGGAGGTGCTCACCACAGTGAGTCATGGTTTCCACCTTCACAATGCCCCAGACAGCAGCACCACGCCCTCCGCTTTGGTCTGAAATCTCAGCTCGGACCGGTGACTTGGCAGCACCTCCATGCTCCGTGGGTTAAAGTTAGGGACGTTTGCCCACAAAGCCAGCCTCTCGCAGTAACCACAGCGGGGTCAGGTCCTTGCCTCCCACATAATTCCTGGGGCACTAGGGGAAGTGTGAGGGAAAACAAGGAGAAGCCCACAGGACTCCCAGTCCCTGGTCCCACTCGTCCCTGTCCTGTTCTTTCTCAAGGAGGACACAAGGCCCCTCCTCAGCTATGTTCATTCCTACCACCTGGGGCCCTTGCCTTTCCATCTGCAAATCGCTTCATGCTTTCAAAGCCCTTTCACTTGAGAAGAAAGGAAAGAGCAGATAAGAAAGGGAGGACCAGAGTCCAGTTGCCAGAAACCAGGGCTGCAACCTACCTCTTCCAGAAGCTTTGGAGCCTCTCTGGGTAATAGAACCCCTATGCCAAGGGCATTTCAATCCAGCTCCTTGGGCTGAGAACCATGGGCCAAGGCCAGAGGGTTCTAGCAGGAGCCCTGTCTGCATACTGCCCGTTTGCACAGTGCTCCCTGGGCAACCTTCAGTACTCGAGGTAGGTTGGTCACTAAGTAATCTCCTGAAAGTTTCCAGGCTCTTCAGAGAGAAGTCCTCACTGTGGCCCACAGCCCCTTCTGTGTCCCCATCACCTGTCCCTCTCCCTCATCTCACCTGCTCCTCCCTCATCACACCTCGGAGCACTCCTGCCTCAAGGCCTTTAAATATACTGTGCTCTCTGTCTGGAAAATTCATGTGCATTTCTGCCCAACCCATCTCCCCACTTCATTTGGGAATGTGCTCAAGGTTATACTACCAGAGGGGCTTTCCTATTTAAAAAAAAAAAAAAAAAAAAAAAAAAATTTTGGGGGCCCACAC